CTAGCTGGGAAACTGAATATGAGAGTGGTGGACTATCACCAAAAATACTTGGGACTGCCCACCAACATAGGCAGGTCAAAAAAACAGGCATTTGGCTATCTGGTGGATAAAGTTAGAGCTAAAGTGAAAACATGGAAAGAGAGACTCCTTTCAGTGGCAGGGAAGGAAGTTCTGATCAAATCAGTGGCTCAATCCCAACTGACATATGCTATGTCAGTTTTCAAGATTCCAACCAACGTTCTAAAGGAAACAAAACGAGCCATTGCTCAATTCTGGTGGGGACAGCAGCAGGAAGAAGGCAGAACTCACTGGTTAAGCTGGAAAGAATTGTGTAAATCAAAGAAACAAGGGGGTATGGGATTCAAGGACTTACAAAGTTTCAACCTTGCCCTCCTGGGCAAACAACTATGGAGATTAGTCCAATTTCCTAATTCTCTAGTGGCACGAGTGATGAGGGCTAAATACTTCGAGAGAGGTGACCCTCTGGAGGCTGAAGTAGGGAGGAATCCTAGTTGGATATGGAGAGGCTTGATGTCCTCAAAGACCCTAGTACAGAAAGGAGTGAGATGGAGAGTAGGTGATGGAACAAAAATCGACATATGGCTGGATAAGTGGCTACCTTCAAGTGAGAATTTTAAAGTGACCTCCCCTACAGTCAATTGGGGTACGTCTACTTCAGTAGCAGAACTGATCGATCCTGAGACTAGAAGCTGGCGGACAGATTTCATTCAAACTCATTTTAACTCCCTGGACTGTTCAAACATTCTTAAAACCCCCATCTCAAGACAACCAACTGAGGACAGAAGGATTTGGGGATATGAAAGAACAGGGGAGTACACCGTGAAATCGGCATACAAGCTATGGGAAGAAAGAAATGCTAATGAGGAGGGAGAACCCTATATACCAGTCAATTGGAAGAAGGTTTGGAGCCTACAGATCCCCCCTAAAGTCAAGGTGTTTGCGTGGAGATGGTTACGGAACATTTTACCAACAAGATCTCGAATACTAAAACGAACTCAGCAAGGCAGTGATGACTGCCCTTTCTGTGGTTTAGAAGAGACCCAAGAACATGTCCTTCGGGACTGTGCATGGGCTCGCAGGGTGTGGAGATACAGCACAATGGATCAACTAGTGAGTCGGGGGGAAAATCTTACCTCTGAAGAGTGGTTTTGCGAGTTGCAGGAGACGGAGACTGAAGATCAACTGGGATCCTTCATGGTGGCACTCTGGTTCATCTGGGATCAGCGAAACTGCCATTTATGGAACAAAAAGAAATTAGAAGAGTGGGAGATCCTACCCAGAGCGAGTGAGTGGCTAAAAGACTACCTGGAGAAGCAACTGAGATCGCAGGCGGAACCGAAGGAGGAGGACCAGCGGTGGAAACCCTCGGCGGCGGGGATGGTGAAGATTAATGTGGATGCGGCTTGTTTTGAGGGGCAGGGAACGGGATGGGGAGCGGTGGCTAGGGATCAGAACGGGCATTTCCTGTTTGGGGCAGTGAAGCGATCTCGGATTCAGTGGAACCCAGAGGAGGCAGAGGTGTTGGCGATGGATTTTGGTCTGGAAATGGCGAGGAGGAGAGGAATGGGGGAAGTGGAAATGGAATCTGATTGCCAGGGTGTTGTTCAGCATCTCCGCCGAGAAGAGAGAAGGGAAACAGAGATCGGGCTGATGTGCGAGGAGGTGCGGATCAAAGCTCAGGTACTGGGCTCGGTTCAATGGTCTTGGGTGGGCCGAAGCAAAAACAAAATGGCCCATAAGGTAGCCCATCTGGATTGCAACTGGGATAGTGAGAAGGCTTGGGATGATAATCCACCTCAGGAAATTGTACCTCTCATTAGAGAGGAAACCTTTGGAAACTATGCTTTGTTTGATTAATATATGAATACAGTTTTCCTTCAAAAAAAAAAAAAAAAAAAAAGCCTTGTCTAGTTGTCTTTGCAAAACTTTCTCTGCAAATGTAGGCTTGTATTGTAAAGCTAGTTTGTTTGTTTTCTCACTTGTTGGAAAGTGTTGTAAGCCCTTACGTATAAGTAGGTGATGAACCTGCTATAAATATGTACGCGAAGACCTCATAAGGAGGTAGAGAATAAAAGTTTAAGTTGAGAATTTTCTCTCAAAGCCAAGACTCTGTCTTGAGGTGTCTAGGAACTGAGTGTTTGAGGTAATACTCCGGAGACATTCTTATCCCGCATAAAAAACACCACACAGCAAAAATCATCAAACCTACAAAAATTCTAAAACACAACTCCAACGATCATCACCAGCATTCTTCACTCGGCATCACCATGAAGATGTTAAACAACAAGGAATCAAACCATCAAACTAAACAAGAACCGAGTATGTCTGATAATCCTAGTAATAGTAAAAATTATTTTGATTATTTAAAGAGAGGGGACACTTGTCATTATTAAAAATGGGAGCACACAAATGTGGTATGTGCATTAATTCTATATCACCACATCCACAAGTGCCATAAAGAAAGCTTTGGTTATACAATTCCTTTGAAAATTATTTCAGACACTCAATTAAAAGAAAACTTTGATTATACAATTCCTTTGAACAATATTTGAGACACTCAATTATTACCTGAATTGCTTCTCATCCTAAAAGTAGTGAAAAGGAAACACTTATTTTTTAATATAAATACAATTTAATAGCCAAACCTCTCTTTTTAAACAAAATAATAGCATTCCGTCTGGTCAACCGTTAGTTGACTCTGACGTGGCAAATTAATGATGATGTGGCAAAAAGTCAATCGTTTGACTAGGCCACATGTATATATATATATATATATATATATATATATATTATTTTTAATTAATTATTATTAAAAATAAAATAAAAAATTCCACAACCCCTGCATCTCCCCCATCCAACGAACAAACGTATCTTCTTCCCCAGTTCCCTTCCATCCGTCGACTCAAATCCATCACATGGAGACCAAACCCATTTCACAAATCAACCGTATCTCACTACTTGATTCATTCCACAACACTTTATTAGAGGAATCTTCAGTGGAGACGAAAATCCATCACATGATGAGCCGCCCCGCTTCCATGCAGGCTGATTATCACCTTCGAGTCCGTTTGGAGTTGAACTTTGCGGAACCCCAACTCCCAAGCGATCTTGAGCCCTTCCACTGCTCCTGATAGTTCCGCTCGAGTAATCGAGCCTCTTCCAACGTTCATGGTAAAAGCTCTAATTAACCTTCCATCCTCGCTACGAAGAACACCGCCTGCTGCAGCACTCTCTGTTGCAGAGATATAGGATCCATCTGTATTTAGTGCTACCCACCCAATTGGTGGCTTCTTCGAAACATCATCAAATATGCTAGATTCTTTCTTGAAGGCGTCGTCCAGCCAATTAGTGTTCCCTCACGTCACCCAATTAGTGTTCCCTCACGTCACTCACACCTACAACGGCTGGTACTTGGAAAGCTACGAGGGTATCTGCGCCCTGTCTTCCTTGAGGGCCAGGCCTTCGTCTGGTTCAAGAAGCAGCCGACCTGGTACATGGAATCGGTGGCATGGCGTTCGCCGGGGTCGTCTGGTTCTCTGGCGGGCCTCTTCGTCCACATCAGCCTTCTCTTCTACATCTTCTTCCTCCAAAGGATGTTTCTGGCGGCATACGATTTTGGATTGTTCGACGGGATGGTGGCCTGCCTCTTTGGCAAGATAGTGAGCATCAGGCACGAGGAGGCCAAGTGGGCTAATGTTGCTATGGGGATTTTGACGATGGAGCCAAAGCTGAGGGAGAGCGTCTGGAAGAGGCAGCAGAGCTTGAGAATGAGAAACACCGGTGCTGCCGATGAGGATGAGTAGCAAGATTCAGGAGCCGCCGCCAGCGCCGGCAGCGTTGGCTTGGTCCTGGCGGAGGACTAGTGTTCTCCTTTTATTTTCCTTTATTATAAAACTAGATAATTAGCCCGTGCTACGCAACGGGTTTGTATTGCTAATCCCTGAATTTATAATGCAATATTAACGCAGGATTAAAGTATTCAATACATAATTCTAGTTAAGAAAAAAATTGAGGATACGATAGTTTTATCTAGTTGAAAATGTAAAATAATTTGATTTAATCATGTTAATGAAGTGTATCACCCACTCTACGCTGGTTATTCTCACATTGATGTGGTGAAGATTTTAATGTTCTCCAAATCATTATTCATAGTGTTAGTTAGTGGTTTAAGGGAAAAATAATTACTACAAAATATAATTAAAGGTCATAAAATAAAAATGCTCGACACATTGCCGATAACTTGTTCGACATGACTCATGAACATTTGCACAGCAATGAGATTCCTTCTGCCGAGAGCTTGCAGATACGGGTTGTTTGTTATGATGCATACGGTGATCTAGACAAAAGGAAGAGCAACTTGATTTTTTTTTTTTTTTTTTTGTCAAAGAAAGAACAACTTAGTTAAAACCCATCATTTGATTAAGATCATGTCAAGCATGAGAAAAGAGCTATTGCCAAGAATCTTAAAGTCTACTTTGTACTAACAACAACAATGAAAGAGAGTTAAAGAGAATCATGTACGCAATTAATAGGCATATAGGGAAAGGTTGGATTGAAGATTTTTGGAGCTGTGTAATTTGTTCCCCCAACTCTTGTCTCATGCATTAACTAATCGTACCCAAACAATAAAACAAATTCATTATCATTTAATACCCATCGTAAAATGACATAAAAAAAAAAAAAAACACCGAGGAGAAATAGAATGATAGAATTTGACCCAAAAAACTGCTTTTGGAACACAACATAGGAATTGAATTGCAGTAGGGGTATTGATAAAACACCTCTGTGGAAAATATTTTGAAGCCACCTTACAGATAAACGTTCTACTACTGACTTTGGAATTAGTCTTAGCTACCCCAGGGCAAAACAATGGCAATGTCTGATAGAAACCGACTTTTCTGGATTTATCATAATAATTATTATTACTATAATTAGGATATTATTAGATATGGTAGTAGTCATTGAGTCATATTAGGATAGTCTATTAGGTTTTTCGAGTCTTTCGTTATAAATATGTACTTACCGTTTTATTCAAAGGCAGCCAAGAAGAATATTAAGAAACCCTTTCCTAAACCCTATTCTCCCAATCCTCTCAATTCTCGTTCCCAATCCCTCTAAAGGCCTAGGCCGATTCTCTATCTTTCTCTTCTCAAATCCCTAATTCTGTTCTAAATCCCTAAATCCCCAATTCTCGATAGAACCCTAATCCCAGGTTCTATCAATTGGTATCAGAGCCTGGTTACAGATTTGAGTTCATCACAACTTTCACCAGGGAATTGTTATCAGAAACTCTGTCACACGTTTGAAGCTCTCCAAGCCAGTCTAGTAAAATATGAAGCTAGTAGGGAAGCATATGAAGCTAGCAAGGAAGCATATGAAGCTAGGAGGGAAGCTCACGACGACTATATGATAGCATGCCTGAAAGAACTTCGAGCCAAACTCGAGCGCCATGCAGCCCGCCGTCGCGCGACCCGCAACCAGCCAGAGTCGACGTCGAAGGAATCATTAGCATCAGCCGCCGTTGAAGACGCTCCTGCTGTGGTGGAGTTTACTCCAGTCGCCGCCACCAAAGAGCCGGGGAAAACAGTTCCTGTTGTGCCTCAAGCCAACGTTAGCGATGAAGGAAGAGGTCTAGTCAACCCTGCCGACGGCGCATACCAATCAGTTGAAAAGGACATCGGCGTCGAGGCTACCGGCGCGCCGAAGTCGTGGGTCATCGTCAGCAAGCAGGCGGTGGTGGCATATGATGAGACAAAGGGGGCTATGGGCGTTGTAAAGTCACCAGCTGCGCCCGCCGACGCCAGGGCAAGAAGGCCTAAGAGGAGAGCAATGCCGAGCCGCATCGAGAACTGGCGATTCCGAAAGAAGGGACTGAGGATCGACAACGATTTAGCGTTCGTCGTGCTGCCCGTTCTCACGTCACCAGTTGCAAGCCCCGAAGTGGCGACTTCCGTCGGGCCACCAGCTTTGCCGACTGACGAGATTCAAACTGGCCGGGGTTCAGAGGAGAAGACGACAGAGTGCCGCGGAGGGAGCGATCGACGATGCAGAAAACAGGGAGCAACCGATCGGGTGACAATGGCCTGTTCCCCGAAGAGGAAGTCGGCGGGGAAGGAGTGCTCAGTCAACGTTGTTCGACGACGAGAAACAGAGCAGAGTCGTCATATTTCGTCACCGGTTGTGAAAGGAGCACCGCCGCAATCAACGCTAGCCCCAGCCTGGGCGTCGACTGCCGAAAAGATGAACACCTGGTTTGACACGTCGACGCCGGGAATCGAGCAATTAGCTCAACGACCAACGATGGCTTTCCTAGCAGCGGCGACGAACGAGAATCCGTTCAAGGCAAGGTCGGACGGGAAGTTGAAGCAGAAGACGTTGTTGGGGGAGTCTTCTATCGCGGCTACGGAGATGAAGGCATTACAGAAGGAGGAGACTAGTCAGGATGAGGCGGCGACGGGCCTGGCTGCGTCGCCAGAGCTGGAGAAGGAATCGTCGGCGATGGCGGGCAGCGTGACAACGAATGAAAGGAAGGAGGAGGCTGACGCCGTTCTTTGCCCAAACCCTAGGTCGCATCCTGTGATCGGCGTAGTACCTCACAACAGAGCCTTGTTGGGCTTAATTGGTAGGGCAGAGGACTTGGTTGGGCCGAGAGCAATCGAGTGTGTGGTGAATGAAGGGGTTAAGGGCTTCGGGTTGGGAATGAAAGAGGAGAACGCGGGGCTCAACTCGGATCAAATTGATCAATTGGTCGGGCTGCAGACTAGGATTAATTGGGCAGAGTCAGGGCCATATTGCAAGCTTGTGGGCTCAGAGAGGCATTCGGCACGCTTCACATTAGTATATGGGCCGAGTATCTGGAAGAATGTTGGATCACATTTAAACTGTCTTTTCAAGATGGTGGACTTGGAGGAAAAGAAAGGTGGGTCTAATGAGGGAATAGATTGGCTTCCAAGAGAACAGGGCCGGAAATTAATTAGAGAGGCAACAAAACAGAGTTATGGGCTTGCTCCAAGAAGGGTTTATCAAGGCCTTGATGAAATGGTATTCAAGGATGGGTTCTTGAACATGAACGAATCCTTGGATTACTCTAGTTACTCGAGGGCCAGGATCGCGAAAGAGGAAGTATTGAAGTTTGAATACTTCGATGAGGCGAGGAATGGACCATCACAATTGAAGATCATAACTTTGCAGCTACACCAGGAGGTCGAAGAAGGAAGGCTAAGTGAAGAGTTGGCGCGTGATTGGAAGAAAAGGAAGCGCAAAAGATGGAGAAGACAAGGCATGATGTGCACGTACGACGTGAAGAAGTGGGTTGAGTCGATCAACCTTGAGGGCAAGGTTGGTCTCAAGGGGGAGGGAATGATAGAAACCGACTTTTCTGGATTTATCATAATAATTATTATTACTATAATTAGGATATTATTAGATATGGTAGTAGTCATTGAGTCATATTAGGATAGTCTATTAGGTTTTTCGAGTCTTTCGTTATAAATATGTACTTACCGTTTTATTCAAAGGCAGCCAAGAAGAATATTAAGAAACCCTTTCCTAAACCCTATTCTCCCAATCCTCTCAATTCTCGTTCCCAATCCCTCTAAAGGCCTAGGCCGATTCTCTATCTTTCTCTTCTCAAATCCCTAATTCTGTTCTAAATCCCTAAATCCCCAATTCTCGATAGAACCCTAATCCCAGGTTCTATCAATGTCCCAAGTCTATCCAGGGTGGAAAGAAAAAGAGGAATAAATATACTATTGTTGGACTACTTGAAATGATCCTATCATCTCAAACCATGCTCCAACCTAAGTAGTCGCTGAATTTATCAAAGAGAAAGGGTCTGTGTAAAAAGAGAGTTCAACCCAACCTGTAGGTGTGGAAGATATTAAAAAAACCGATCTTAGCCTGCATTTTTCGCCGCTTGCCAATTGGACAACGATGCCCACTTTTTATCCAAAGCAATGAGTCGACAACGATGCCCACTTTTTATCCAAAGCAATGACTCGACTCTTGGCATTGTTCCACTTCTATTTGGAGGATATTGGTTCCCGTCACATGAGGAGAAACATTGCAGAGTAGTAAGCTGCTCGATTTTGTTGATACCGCCTCATCCTTCTTCTTCTTCCTCCTCCCAAGTCATGTGTCGTGTCTCACAGCGGCATGGATCGGATGAGCTTTAATTTTTCTTTGCTTTGTTTGTCGAGACACAGCCAAGAAACTGAAGTAAATAAGTTATGATCAATTTCCTCTGAATAAGCAACTGAAACGACCAAACAATGGAAGGGTCATTGCATCAACCATACTTGATTATAGTATGCAAGTACGATGGTTTCACAATGCCATTTGAAAATCATGGCCAGTGGTATACAAAGTGTAATTGCAGAGTCCAAGCAGCATAGTATCTTGTAGATGAATGTGATTAATTGTGCAAGACTAACTAAATAATCGTGTCAATATTGAAAAAAGAGAGAAATGGATTGAATTTACAATGATTTTGCATTGGTAAATGGTATTCTAACCTTCAGCGTAGTAGTACAAAAATCAGCATAACATCATGTAGTTGCAGCCAAGAACTTTAAGACCACTGATTCACAAACAACAAAGAGAATTGGATGGCAAACACATCTAGCATAAGTAACATGGTGTCAAAGCAATTCGTGAGGTCCTACTGGTGTTCTTTTTCATTATATAAGAACCTGTCATGTTAGAGTGGAACACGGACAAAAATCTAATATTACTTTCGCATGTGGGAAGAGCAAAACTTCTAAGTGCAACAATACTGATTAAGAAGCTGCTAGCCTGTTATGCTGTCCATTTTCAATTGGACTTAAGTCAACAGTATCGTACGTACAACCAATTACCAAATATATTTGGATTAAGGGGTAGATGCAGACTACAAAAGCTTAGGATTAAAGTATCAAATTCAAAAGGAAATCAAAACTACATACCGAGTAAGTCTCATATGGTCTGAATTTAAGCAAATAAGCATAATTTGAAGCTGGGGAATCGAAGGGCAAGTCTCCATCTCCATTAAATTAGTTCATACTCAAACTTCCTAAATCTCAAAGTAAGTCGAAGGGGGCAAGGTCAACTCCTCTCCAGCTGTTGTTTGCTGCATCAAGGAACAAAACTATTTTAGTCAATCTAGAAAAAGAATAGACTACTACTTGCAAGCCAAAGTACATAGGGCAAGCAAGAGGGAGGAGGTTGTCTTCTAACTGTCAAAACACTACTCATGAATGAGCCTTATATGTTTACATGATATATATGGAACTGCCAAAACAAATCATCTCACTCATGGATCCTCATCAAAAGTTGTTTAGCGATTAAGCTTATAAATGACTAAAAGGTTGTTCAACATATAATTCAACATACACTGAAGCCTATATTAACTTTTCTTCTTTGATTCAATTGAAGCAGGCGTAAGAAGATAGAGTATCATCTCTAATGTGCTGAATCAATGAAGTATTTTATTAAAAGACGGCTGAATCGTTCCAACTCTAAGTTGTTGACTTACCAAAATACAGCAATCAATGTTGCCACCATGACTTTTCATAGCCCTCAGTAGATGTGAATCTGATTTTCTCTGCCGGTCTTGCTGTCACCGTCTCATGCTTTGTACAGAGGTGAAACGGAAACCATTGAATCGATCCAACAATCCACCATCAAATAAGTGTGGAGAAATGGGAACCATCAACTCAAATTCGTCAACAAAACACCAATATACCAAAACTGAATCCAAAGACAGCTACTCCATGTTCGAAGAGAAGATCCCCATCCAATATGAAATCCTCACATAATCATCGTTTTGAACCCCAAATCCTTGTATCCACAAATCGACGTTTTGTTCGTCGCCGTTTTATTTCCGGCCGGAATTTACTCACATATCTCTTTCTAACACGATTACGGTAACCATGTCTATTATTGTGTTCATCAAACTTTTGATTTGCAAAAGAAACCTTGAAAGAGGTTTGCTAACCCTAGGGTTCATGTCGCTAGTGCTTTGTCATCTAGTTTTAGCGTTATTATCATTTGCAAAATAACTTCCATCTCTCGGTGAAATTAAGGTTTCCTGATATGTAGTGTTCGTCTCGCCCAGAGGATTGAGGAAGAAGATGAAGAAGGCAGAATTTGATTCGAATCGGATAGAGAGGTCTCCTTAATTTATGTTTATGTATTAACGGTGCGTTTAGGACTAATTCTAGTTGGACTGGGTCTGATCATTGATTTTTGCAGGCTTTTAAATAACATTTAAAATGGGCTTGTACATGATCCATGGCACCTAGTTTGTTGATAATAGATACTGAGTTCCGGATTGTCATTAGGTTGGGCCTTTGATAATTGTCTATCCCAGTTTTCGGGTCTTTGTTTTACTTGATTTTATATTTTATTTACATCTGCTTCTGCTTCTAAAATCCTTATCATGCCTTGAGTTCACGCAATTTAAACATAATTATGTGTTCCATCTTTTTTTGGGATTTGGTAAATGGTAGCGTGTCTCTTAACACATTTAGCAGTACGAGGTAAACTACAATTCACCCAATTTAACTCTTCATTAATTGGCCCTATTCCACTCTCTCACTTATTGCCCGTCTTTATGCAATGCACTCGTACATAACAAATCTCTTGTAGACTAATTAGAGGCTTGTGGTTGGATACTGACTGAGAATATTTTTTTAATTTATGTTTTGAAACGAAAGTTAGAATTTCACTTTTGAATTACCTATGTACTTTAGTTGGCCAAGTATTTTCAAAATGTAAAATTTTATCAGCGTATAGGTATACGATTGTTGTATAAGGTGTTGATGTTAAAGAAAATGGGTACTGACTGGTTAGGGTATTAGGTTGTTGATGGTATAGAGTATATGGTATATGGGTAGCTTAAGGTGTTGATGGTTTAGAGCATATGGTATTGATTGGTTATCCACAACGGCTGTCATATTGCTATTTCATATCCTACATGGCACTTTCATTCCCCCTTCCATTGTTGTAGCCCCCTATTTCATGGGCTAAGATCAGATGACTAGGAGGGGGAGGGTCCCTTAGTCACATGACTAAGTAAATCTCAGCCATTCCACTTCATTAAAATCCAACGGTTCAGATTGATCTCGTTTAATAAAGGGTAATGTGGTAATTGTATGATATTTTAATTTTTAATTATTAAATAATTATAATTATACATACCTTCGACGCTGAGTTTTCCTACATCCCGCCGCCGGCGCTGGGCGGTGAGGGGATTTTCACCCCTGGTGGGTTTCCGGCAGCCCATGACCATTTTCCAATTGCGTTGGCCAGAGAGAGAGTGAGAGATTCCACATGACCATTTTCCTTTTTCCCCATTACCATTGCGTTGCCGAGAGAGATTTTCCAATTGCGTTGCAGAGAGAGAGAGATTCCACATGACCATTTTCCTTTTCCCCCATTACCATTGCGTTGCCGAGAGAGATTTTCCGATTGCGTTGCAGAGAGAGAGAGATTTCCGGCGGCCGGAGGAAATTTCGTGGCGACAGTGTTGGATTTGTGATGTTTGCTGACCTATTTTGTAATGTTTGTATAGATTCGGTTTGTATTGTTTGTCATTTTTAGTGACATTTTGTACGGTTAGTATGCTTTGTACGGTTTGTTGACATATTTTGTAATGTTTGTCGGGGTTTTTTGTAATGTTTGTAAACTTTGTTATTTTTGTGCACCATGTTTATCATTTTTGTCAACCATGTTTGTAATGTTTTTTATGTCTAAAAAACAACCTGGTTGACTTTTGGATGGAACTCCTCTATATAGGGATGGAGCCTCCAAAGTCAACCCGGGTGTTTTTTCCAGTTCGTATGGATTGTCGGTCTAGTTTGTCATTTTTGTCCACCATGTTTGTAATGTTTGTATGTCTAAAAAACAACCGGGTTGACTTTGAAACGAAGCCCTCTATATAGGGATGAAGCCTCCAAAGTCAACCCGGGTGTTTTTCCAGTTTGTATGAATTTTTGGTCTAGTTTGTCATTTTTGTCCACCATGTTTGTATGTCTAAAAAACACCCGGGTTGACTTTGGGAAGGAGCCCTCTATATAGGGATGAAGCCTCCAAAGTCAACTTGGTTGTTTTTTCTTTTTGTATGGTTTGTATTGTTTGTCAGTCTAGTTTGTATTTTTTGTCAGTCTAGTTTGTATTTTTTGTACAGTTCATATGTTTGTAATGTTTGTAAATCTGTTTGTATGTTTTGTCGCTCTAGTATGTATTGTTCGTATGTTTGTATGATTTGTACTGATTGTAAGTTCGGTTTGTATACTTTGTAATTTTTCATAATACCCAAACTACCCCTGTCATTAATTAAATAGTCCTTCCCACTTTTTAACAATCAGATTGATGTGTCAAGATCTAGGGGGGGTGCTTAGTCACTTAGGATCCGCACTCCTATTTCTTAAAGTGGGAGCTTCCACTTAAGACCATCCACATCAATGAAATACCATTTCTATTTCATATGTGGTCCCTACTGCCACATCAACAACTTTTCTCATTTCACTTCATATCAATTCCATTCTCTCCACATCAATGACATACATTTTCTATTTCATATGGTGTGCCCAATTGATTATTTTAATACAACTCTATATTTTATCTAAAAAAATAAAAAAGAAAAAATAAAGAGATG